GGGGGGGGGGGGTATTTTTTTTTTTGGACCCCCCCTCCCCCCCCCCCCCAAAAAAAACTTGTTCGTACAAGAAGCTTTTAGATCCCATCCCATAAAAAAAATACCAAAGAACAAATAATTTAAAAGATAATTTTGGCGTCACTGGAAGAAAAAAAAATGAGTCGCGGATTTATACGGCTGACAGGTTGGCCAGCCTAGTGGTCCCCATGATATGCGTCGCTCTGGGTGCCATGTTATCTTTCAGGCAGAGCCATCAAAATGGGGCAAAGAGGGCAGTCACAGCGAGCGCCTAAATCTTCTTTAGGTAGGATCCTAATAGTGAATTAAAATATCAAATCCCATACACATCAGAAAGACGAAGAGGGGGGGGGGGGGGCAAAAATCGTATTTTTTTGTACTGATCCAACCTGGGGGCACTTTATATATATATTACCTCTGCAACGAACAAACAACAGTAAAAACAGCACTTAACTAAAAGAATGGGGAAAACCTAAATTTGGCATAAGCCCCGGGAATCTAAACATTTTAAGAACTATCACATTAAGCAAAGGTGGACGAAATATTACTGTAATACTGCTATTGCTGAGTACTATTGAAGCGGTATCTAGCTAGTTCATTTCTGAAAAGAAATGGAAACATTATGACGATAATTCCTACACAAAGTTGTGTGATATTTTTACAGCATTGTAAATATAAATATGCTATTTTTGGACTGTCAGGTGTAGCTGAAACTATTCACTGCGCTGGCCTTTGTGGAGAAATAAGATAAGACAAATGGAAATAAGACAAGCAAGTCGTCGCTGCCAAAAGTACGGACAAGCCGGACGACGAGAGGAAAGTACGGACAGATACGGACGCAAAAATTAGTACGGACAAGGGGTCGAAAAAACAAACTGCCCATAGTAAATGCGGACGTCTGATAACCCTAATCTAGGCCTACGTAAACTGCGGCAGAAATTACCATTGCCATCGCCTTGAGATGGCTGTTAGATATAAACTTGTGTGGTCTTTTGGTTAATGCTAGGTTACGGCCAGATGATACCGCTAATGTGGAATAAGGATCGGTTTACAGATGTGGCTCAAGTTTTACTTGGCTGAAACATTATTTCTATTTCTCATCTGTAGCATATATATTTTATTACCGGTATTAAATTATTATGTTCATTTGTTACAAAAGCATTTTTATTTTGTGGTAAAAATGTACCTTATGTACCGATTATAAAGTGTTTAAACTTGAACAAGATGTGGCGGCTTTTACTTTAAAAATAATCCAGTAGGCCTAAACTGCGTTAAAGTTAAGGTAAGCCTACCTCAGCCTCCCAAAAAGTTTTGCTTAGTACAAAATCTTGGACCAAAGCAAAGTGCTGATATTTGAAGTGATGTGCTATTCCCAGGTTCAGCCAGCATGATGATCTTAAACATATACTTTTGAGGGGGGGGGGAGGAGATATTGGAACTCACGACACACATTTTAATACAATCACGGCAGTGTTTCCCAAGTTGTTGTTTTTTATCCACGCCCTATCTGATCACTAAATGTTATAATTCCCCCACACCAAAACAAACAAATTAAC